TTCTTTGCTTTTTTGATTAAAAGACTTAGGCTATTTTTATAATGATATGATTTATAATTCATTTAGATCTACTTTAACTTTTATGGTAAGTTCCACATAAAATTTCACTAAGGTTCTTCCTTATCTTTCTAAACAAAGGGAAATAGATAATCCAGGGCTTGATATTCTCTAAAGCACTTGGATTGGGTTATTAGCTTCTTATCCTCTTGAGTTTCCTGATAAAGATCAGGACTTTAGGATTATTATAATTTTTTTCTACATCTCTAAACTGAAAGCCTTATAGCTTAGCTTTTATAGATCCATTCTTTTTTGATTTTTAATCACTTGTATAGGTATAGCATCTGGCATAATCTAACCACTTTACATATATTTATTTATTTTTTTTTTTTTAAATATTTTTTTTTTTTTTATAGAGGCATGTTTATTTATTTGTTTGTTTGTTTTGTTTATACATGCACTGGGTACAGTCAGAAGCACGGGAGGGTGAGAGAATTCACCAGAGCCAGAGCGGAGAACAGAGCAGGCAGAAGGACCGAAGTACACTGCTGAGGGGAGCAGCGGGTGGCAGGAGAGGTCTGCGCACCATGTGGGACCCTCCTCCGGTGGCCGGGGAGCAGCCGGGGATTGAACCGGTGCCACTGAGGCTGCGGGCAGCTTCGCAACCCAGCGCTCAACCGCTGCGCCACCGGGAAGGCCCCACTTTACATATATTTAATCTTCACCGATCCATATGAGATAAGGACTTTTTTATTTCCTTTTTTTTTTTTTGGAGAGAAGTGTCTTTTTTTAAATGTCCAGTTTATAAATGACAAAATTGAGGAATTGAGAGATTAGTTGACCTTTCCAATGTCACACAGCTTATCAGTGGGTGAGCCAGGATTCAAACAAACACAAGCTCTATCCAGGGTCCTTGTTTTTAATTCTACACATCCTCACTATAGTGATGGGGGAAAAAACAAACTTGACAGATACATATAAAATTAATAGTCCTTTAATCCTACCCACAAGAAATATCCATTGCTAACAGTATATATTTTGATTTTAAATCTAATTAGAGTACAAATACATGGAAAGCAGCATTCTTGAGGGGAAGTTACAGCCATAATTTGAAATATATATTAATCCATTATCTGATTGGCAGGAAACTTCCAAGTCACTTCAGTTTGACCCAGCTCAAGTCCTGAAATTGGAGGGGTAAAAAGTGGGAAGGGCTAAGCTTAGATGTTGACAGCTGGCAAGTGACCCTCACAAAAGGGGGGCTACCTGAACCAGAGAGGAACCAAGGGTGGGAACAGAAAATCAAAGTGGGTCAAAGTAATGCTGAGTAGGGTGAAAGCAAGGGCAGAAACCAGTATCCTAGACATGTACAGCCAGAAAGGATAATCTAGCACCAGTAAGGTGAGGGGCTGGTGTATATATCTAGTGTTGCCCATGAGGACAGTTCAAGTTATGTGGCTGTGCCAAGACAGCTGCTACTAGACATTTGTGCAAGAAGATACTGTGCCAAGTGTATTAATCAAAATAGAAAGGCATCCTAGTAGAAGAGTGTTGGACATGGCAGAGGCATTGTTAGTATGTAGACTGAGGGGCACCCTGAGACCAGCAAATTTGCACACTCTAAATGGGTTCTGCTACACTTAGACAAAGCATACTCTTAGTGATTAAGACCTCCCACAGAAAAGAACTTTAAAAGAATTAGTGTGTATAGAGAGAAGAGAAGAGAAAGGAGATAGTTTCTCAATGAAACACCCAAAGTTACCCATCCCCTCGTGGGTAAATATCCAGCCAAACATGGTTAGCCCTAAGTGGGGCCACTGAAGTCCAAAAGCTTGCCACAAGTCTAAGGCAACTTCTGATGGGGAGCCACAGGAAAGGGACAGAAGGGGTCTAGCAAGTCTGGAAGGAAAGGAGCAAAATCAAAGTACAAAAGAAGATAAAGTCTGCCATTGTCAGCCTCCCCATGGGTCTCTCACCCATGTCTCTTCCAAGTGGCTCTAGATGTCTCAAGGAAATTTGATTTGTAAAAGATGCAGAATGAGGACAGAGTGCCTGGAGCTCAGTATGTGAGGGAAGGGAGGTTGGGTATGATAATATACAAAAGTTAAGAAGAGCAGGTCAAGAAGGACCATGTAGATCATAATAAGGAGATTGGACTTTATTCTTAAAGTACTATGAAAACATTGGAAGATTTTTATTACTAGTAAGTACAGCACTCTTTGCCCTGGGAAGGAATTTATGTGCTTTCGGGTAGCACTGTTTGAGAATTATGGGTATATATACACACTATAGCAAAATTTCAGTGGTGAAAACACATTGGTTACTCATGGGCTCCCTCTGGTGTCAATAATGGCTCCGCTTGCCTGGTTTCAGAAGGAATTTATGTGCTGGGAAGGAATTTATGTGCTTTCGGGTAGCACTGTTTGAGAATTATGGGTATATATACATGCTATAGCAAAATTTCAGTGGTGAAAACACATTGGTTACTCATGGGCTCCCTCTGGTGTCAATAATGGCTCAGCTTGCCTGGTTTCAGAACAAAGAGCAAAGGAACAATCTATCTTTTTTAGTCAACAAACATTTAATGGGCTCTTACTATGTGCTAGGCTCTGTATTGGTACATGAACAAGATAGACAAACATCTATACCCTTATGGAGCTTATATTCTGGTGTGCGTGCATGTGTGACATTAAACCAATTCACCAGTATATTATTGGATAGGATACGTGTTATTAGAGAAAAATGGACTTGGAAGTATGGGAAGGATGGCGGTGCTTCAATTTAAAAAATGGTGCCAGGGGGCCTCCCTTGTGGCTCAAGGGGTTAAGACACAGCCTATCAAGCTATCCGCAGCCACTGAGCACAAGTTCGATCCCCAGCCAGGGAGCTACCCACATGGTGCAGCAGACCTCCCCTGACTTGCCCATTGCTCCCCCCAGCAGTGTATTTCAGTATATCTGCCTGTTCTGCTCCCCAGTCTGTCTCTGGTGAATCCTCTCATCCCTCATACTTCTGGACTGCACCCTAGTTCAGGCATAAAATAAAATAAAATAAAATGCATAAAATAAAATAAATATATAAAAAATAAAAATAAAAAATAGTGTGAGGCAAGTCTCATTGAGAGGATGACATTTGAGCAAGGATGTAAAGGAGGTGCTGGGTGAATCAGTTATGTGGGGGAAGAACATTCTAGGATCAGCAAGCACAAAGACCCGGAATCTATACGCAGGTTTGAGGAATAGCAAAGAGGTCAATGTGCCCAGAGTGGAAGGATAATGAATGGAAAGAGCAGAAAATGACATTAGTTGTATTGGGGGGCGGGATATCAAATCTTGAGGGTCCTTAGGCCAATGAATAGGTTTTGGTTTTCACTTTATTGAAGGAGGGTTATGATCTAATTAAGATTTTTTTAAAAAAGATTTATTTATTTATACAAAACTGGGGTACAGGCCAGAGGTGTGTGTGTGTGGTGAGAGGATTCACCAGAGATAGAGTGGGGAGCAGAACAGGCAAACTGAGTGAAATACACTGCTAAGGGGAGCAGCAGACGAGTCAGGAGAGGTCTGCTGTGCCATGTGGGTTGCTCCCTGGCTGGGGATAGGCTGCGCCCAACCCCTTGAGCCACCAGGGAGGCCCCCGATCTAATTAAGATTTTAAGAGGACCCCACTGTTGGTCTGTTAATAGTGTGGAAAGGCAAGAATATAAAAAGGGCAAATGGTCACAGATTGAATTGTACCAAAATAGGCAATAAATGGTCAAATTCTGAATATATTTTTGAAGGCAGATCCTGTGAAACTTGCTGATGAATTAAATGTGGGGTGTGAGACAGAGGAATCAAAGATCTTAGTAATGTTACTTAGTAAAATGCTGTCATAGCAAGGGGTTATCAAAGAATGCACAGCCAAAATATGTAGGAAAAAGGATTTTTGGAGTGTCTTAAGTAACTAGTCAGTGGTGTGTAGTTTTTCTGTATTTTGTATCATTTGTGAAATTTTAAAAGTTTATGGTTTGTCATTTATTTTCTAAAGATTCTTTTTTAGGGCCTCCCTGGTGGCATAGTGGGTTGAATGCAGTGCTGTGAAGCTGTCCGCAGCCTCTGCAGTGCGGGTTCGATTCCTGGCCGGCCAGGGAGATACCCACATGGCGTGGCAGACCTCTCCTGTCTCACCTACTTCTCCCCTCAGCAGTATTTTCCATCCATCTACCTGTTCTGCTCCCCACTCTGTCTCTGGTGAATCCTCTCACACTCCCGCACCTCTGGCCTGTACCCCAGTTCTTGCATAAATAAATAAATCTTTAAAAAAAATAAAGATTCTTTTTTATACCTAATATTGTACTTATAATTCTGGATTTTAAAAAAGAGGTAGCCAACTTGAATAAACTTTCGGCCCCTCAAAACCTGAATTCAACCCTACTCCTTATCCATACTTGAGTAGTATTTTAAAATAAACAACATAATTAAGAATTTTGCTTCTGATAAAATGATTACAGAAAACAATGTGCACGAAATAGAAGTTAATTGTAAGTTCAACACAATATTAAGTACGAGCTAACACTGGGGATAAAAATATCACTTTGGATTAGCCTCCCCTACAGTGTCTTTCAAAACTACCCACCCATTCTTACAGTTTTTCTCCATCTATCAAATGTATCCAACATTTCTCCTTATGTTTTAGGGAGACAGAGATTACACCTATTTTAAAAGACCTTCTTGAGAAATGAATGCTGAAGTACTTTTCTACAGGGGATGGACGCTATTGTCTCAGTGGCAGGCACTAGGGCCTGGGCGCAGCAAGATTCAGTGCACCAGCACCGAGCGCCTCGGAAGCCCTGAGCCAAGCGTAACCAGGAGCCAGGTGTAACCAGGGGCGGGGCGTAACCAGGGGCGGGGCTCCAGGGGCGGGGTAGTGGGCGGGATCTAGGCGCTGCCCCGCCCCGCGAGCCCTGACACATGCGCCTAGCGGCTGGTGGCGGAACGAGGTGTGGATTGAGGTGACCCTGGCCGCTGACTTCCGGTTCCTAGGGATGCGCATCCGGGTCACGCTAACGCCGCGGTTTCCTCCGCCCGCTTGGTTCTACTGTGGGTCTGGACCGGTCCCCATGTCCTGTTGTGGGGCCTCTGCATCGTGTAGGTGAGTCTTCGGGGCCGATAGGGCCTGAGTGCAGCCGGCCGGGGCCAGCCTGTGAAAGAGCAGGTCAGGGGTTCTGTCCCCGTCCCTGTAGGCGGGGGTTCTCTTCGCCTGTCCCTTGTCCCTACGGTGCTTCCCTCGGTTCAGCCCTTCCCCTCACGCTGGCCGCGCCTCTTTCACCTCAGCTTGGCCTCTCCCGTCTCCGCTTTCCTCTCGCCTCGCTGCTCCCCTCCCCAACCTCCCCCGTCCCTTTCCAGCCCGGGTTTCTTGCCTTTCACTTCAGCGCTTCCCTCAGCCATTGCCTCTTGCCTCCTCCCCCTCCAGTGAGCGCTCTCCCTCCCCGATCCCGGGGTCTCGCAGTTGTTTCACGCAGCGGGACGGCCAGCCCCCTCTCGGGCTCCCCACCTCCTTTGCGAGCCTGAACCTGTCTCTCTCTGTAGGGCCCTGGGTTCTCGGTCCCCGACCTGACTCGCTTTTGACACCTACTCCCTCCCGGGATTACTAGGTGACAAGTGTGCTGCGCCTGGGCTTCTCCCGCCTTTTCTTAGCCAAGAAGAGGGCTTTGCCAAAGCCAGTCTGGGCCGATTTACCCGTCTTGGGGGAAGTTTTGCCTTAGGGCGCCGCGGTAGGCTGAGCTCTCGTAGCTTCCGTAGTTAGGGAACAACAAAGGCATCACTGGAGCCAGTTTTGGGGGCTCTGTAGAGCGGGCTAACAGGTGGCAGGCACGCGGAACTGCTGGTGATTGGGCTCGTGTGATCTTGTTGTCAGGTCATAGAGACGTCCTGTCATTTTTGTGTTCTCTACCCCATGAAAATGGATGTGCACAGCTGAGGCCAAAATGCGGATGTTTGGGACGTGCAGCTTCTATTTCCTGCATGGGCTTTACTTATGTGACAGTTGCTATGACAGGACAGTTTCTTGTGAGAGAAGTCCCAGATTATAAGCTTATTGCCAAAAATATTAGTGTGTTGTTACTGAAACGCTTTTACTAAAGAGTGTAAAGTATATTTTCTTTAGTTGAACTCAGTATAAATATGTATCTTCATTCTTGCTTCTTGTTCATTGTCTTTTATTTTTACTCTATTGACATCTTTTCCATTTTTCTAATTGTCTCTTCATAAACCAGACACCACAGAATTTTCTTGCTAGAATAATCTGACTTCCACCGATTCTTTACTATTTTCATCATTGTCTTAAACCATCTTTCTCTCATTTTGAGATTTAAGTTTATCTTTAAAATTCTCTGGAGACTTTAGTCATCTCTAAAATAAAAGGATTGGATTTAGTGATGGTTAGTATTCCTTTTCCCAAAATTTGTGATTTAAGGTGTATTTTGACATTGTATAATTTTTATTTTTGTTTTTTCCAATGTCTGTAATGTATTTCTAGCATTTGATTGCAAATGCTTTTGTGTGACCCCTTTCTGTAATTATATAAACTGTGCTCTGAAATTTAGTACTTAGTGAATAGAATAAATACTTTTTAGCATCTGCTTCTCTTTTGATTGATGGGTTATAGAAAAGTCTCCATCATTATATGATTCACACTTAGGAGAACATAGTAATAGACAGTGTCTTACTCTAAATTGAGCTGCTCCCTTCTGCTATTTTTAGCAAAGGACTTTGGAACTTGGCCATATTAGTCCTAGAAGCCATCGAGAAGTACCCTTCTGGTTGGTTTTCAGAGTTTTATCTTACTGCTGAGGAAAGCCTCGTTGAAAGTTCCTAGGCAGTATTTCCTCCCCAGCAGCTATGTTGGAAACTAACTTCTATTCAAACTGACCTCATCATTTCCCATTCTTAAAAACTGACCTCACCAAGTTTGGGCTGATCTCCAGCTACCTGCTTCCTTTCCTCCAGGTTTGTGGACTTTTAATTTTTTTCGCATGAAACTCCATAGCTAGACCTGTATTTGGATTGATTCAAGACCCTCTCTCAACTTTTTTCACTTCTGAACTTTTAATTGTTAAAGTTATAGACATTTCTATATAGTTTACAACTGGAGGGGACCATAAAGCTCAAACCCACCCCTTCATTTTATAATTAAGAAAATTAGGGCTTAACGAATTAGTGATGACTTCTTCAGGGTCATTTTTACAAATAAAAGAAGTCCTTTATGTGCACTAAGAGAAGTGGATCTTAGTTCCATGGAAGCTATAGGCTGGAGAGCACAGTACAGTGTTAAGCAGTTCGTTTCAATAAATTTATGTCATAGGAATGAAAGTTTTAGGATACAGAATCTGTGACAGATTTTTAAATTCAAGTCATTTGCCTTCGAAGAGGGACTCTAGGAAGAAATTTTGCAGAAGTAGGAGTTAAAAAGTCTTAAGGAGTCACTTTTCTAAAATCACTTTGGCTTGTTATGACATAAATTCTGCATTTTTTATGAAGCCCTTGTATGAAATTAGCATCCTTTGTTCTCATTAGAACAGATGTGTTCACACTTCTTGTCTTTGTATAGTGATCGATTTTCTAATTACTGAAATGCTGCACCTCTTGTTTAATTATCAAACAAAAAAATACCTTTACAGACAACTTAGTATTGTGTGTTTGAAGTTCAGGAGAGGAATCACTGTTGATTTTTTTAGAAGTGTCTAATTAGTTTGTCAAAGTGTGAGTTTGTAACCCTGAGGATTCAATTTAAAGTACATTTCTGCATATTTGTTTTATGCCTACCAGGTTTTTTCTTTTGATTTAATTTTTTATTTTTTGGTCATTATACTTGGTTTGCATTTTTATCTTTGAACCTTAGGATATATTTTAAGGAAAATGAAAATTTGAAAATTTAAGAAACACGTGTCCTTACCATTTATACCTTGTTTCTCTTACTTGCCTAAGCTTTCACAACTTCATTCCCTTTGTTTTAATTACAGGTAAAAACCTCATAGAATGATTTTTGTATTCTGCATATAACAGCAGAATATTTAAACTTAAGTATGATTTAATTAGAAGCTGATCAAATTAGAAACATGTATTTAAGAATATTAGGAATAGTTTACTCTTCCCATATAATTAATTGGTTTAGAGCAAGGGATTGAATTATTTTTATAGTAATGTGGAAAATAGGTGGACTTTCTGTCTGCTGATTAACTTAAAACTACAGGTATATGTTCTTTTGAAAAATACATGGCTTAAGCTATAAACTGCTTTATTGATATGTTTTATTGGCAGAGAACATAACAAGCAATGGAACAACAGCAACATCATCATCTTGATATTTTTATTTGGTCTCATTAACCTAAGTCCTGGGATATCTATATATATATATATATATAATAATTGGGATATTCTTGCTTTTATTTATAGTATACTAATAACAGATATTTAGACTTTGCTTAATAAAATTTATCTCTACTCTTTCCTCCTTTTACCTCTGTAGTGTGGAATTTTGAATCAGAAGTATATGTGTAAAGAGTACTTACTGTACTCTTTACTTACTATAAATCAGTTAACAGATCTGCCTAAGACAGTCACTGGGCAATACTTACTATCTTAAGGATCTTATTACAGATTATGTTGGATATATCTTAATTTATTGGCTTGGTTAATGCTTGTACTAGATTTTTTTTTTTCCCGCCATAGAAAATAGTTAACAATAATCTTTGTAATACATTTCTTTTAGCTAATTTCTTTTGGTTACCTATTAAGTACAGTTACAAAAATACATATATAAGCTGTTCATGTGAACTAGGTATCATTATATGGAGCTGATGTTTACACTAAAATTCTGATTTTATTTGTACATATCTGAATTAACCTATAAGACTTGTAACCTGTAACCTGCATCACCAAGGTATAGGAAAAAAAAAATAGAATTAATATAAACCGTAATTCTAAGAAAATGTCACTTGTTACCAATGACAATGGTTTTTTATTTATTTTTTTTTTATTTTTTTTTTTTTTTATAGAGGCATGTTTTTTATTTATTTATTTATTTTATTTGTTTGTTTGTTTGTTTATACATGCACTGGGTACAGTCAGAAGCGCGGGAGGGTGAGAGAATTCACCAGAGCCAGAGTGGAGAGCAGAGCAGGCAGAGGGACTGAAGTACACTGCTGAGGGGAGCAGCGGGTGGCAGGAGAGGTCTGCGCACCATGTGGGATCCTCCTCCGGTGGCCGGGGAGCAGCCGGGGAGCAGCCAGGGAGCAGCCGGGGAGCAGCCGGGGAGCAGCCGGGGATTGAACCGGCGCCGCAGAGGCCGCGGGCAGCTTCGCAACCCAGCGCTCAACCGCTGCGCCACCGGGGAGGCCCGGTTTTTGATTTTTTTTAAACTAAAATTATTTTCAGACATACTCAGTGGTATGTCATTTGGGTTTTAAGATTCTTGCATTAATCTTCACCACCATTTAATGAATATAAGTCATGTTCTTCTTTTTTATAGTTAACAATTAATTTTCATATGGGGGACTTTTCACAAACAACTGTAAAAATCTGCAAGAGTAAAACTAAAAGCAAACTTTACAGCACATTTGTTTTGTACTATTTGTTTTGTACAGTAACTATTGTAAGTGTTAACATATATTAATTCATTAATCCTTAAAACCCTGTGAAGTACTACTCTTACCTCCATTTTACAAATGAGGCAACCAAAGTACAGAAGTTACAGTCTTTGCCCAAAATAACACAGCTATTTAGCAGAAGGTATAGATTGGAATTTCATCATCCTCACTTCAGAGTTTGTACAAAGTTCTGCTAGTTTTAGTCATTTCTTCATTTATCAGCTAAGTTAAACATCCAGTTTCTCTGAAACACGAAAGAACACTGCTTTTGTTTGGGAACCAGGGGGCAGTGGGGAGGCATTTAACTGATCTTTGTATGAATGCTGGTTTAAGGTAAAGCGACCCTTTACTGCCTATGCTTCTTTTTTTTTTTTTTTTTTTTTAATTTTTTTCTAGAGGCATGTCTTATTTATTTATTTATTATTTGTTTTGTTTTTTGGTTTATACATGCACTGGGTACAGTCAGAAGCGCGGGAGGGTGAGAGAATTCACCAGAGCCAGAGCG